CAGCTGTAGATGCACATGCAATGATTGCTTTCTGGAAGTTTCATTACAATCTGTCCAGTGGTTCATGAGATATTTTACTAACAGAAGAAAAACAAACAGTTAATGCTGATTTGTTTTTTAGGCTAAGATGTTTCAAAGTGAATAGCACCTGGATTATGTGTTGTGAACCAACCTCAGCTCTAAAGTTGAGCACAATATCTGTAAAATGGACTGAATCACGACAATTTTTTTGTGTTTCTGGGTCAGATGGCTGCGGCAGCCATATTTAATTAAAATCCATCCCGTAGTTCCCGAGACATTTTGCTGACAGACACGGGAGTAAGTGCGCCTTGGCGTTTTGGTGGCGGGCGATCATATAAGTACGTTTTAAATGAGCTCAAAGGAAGACGCAGCGTCCTCGACGCTCTGCGGCATCAGTTCCTGGTGCCTCTGAAGGTTTCTGCCAGGTGGGTTTCATCTCCACGAGACGGTCGCATTTAATTCATCGAGCTTCTGTCCTGACGCAGCTGAACCACTGATGAACCACGAGAGCAAAACACAGAAACGTGACTCCCCCTCGTCCTCCCCTCCTGCTGGGTGATTACTGATAGATGTGCGGACGTTGTGTTTTATTAGTTAATTTTTTTAAGTTAGGTTCTTTATAAGCTGCTCCTCTTTTCAAATCATCTTCAACGAAAGGGAAACGTGTGTATATCATGTTGTATGAAAACAACAAGTTCAGACTCAAACGTGCGTGTTTGATGTCGGTGTGTATGCTTTTATGTGTGTGTGTGTGAGTGTGTGTGTGGCACCTCGAGCGAGAGAATAAAATAATTTATATATTTTTTAGAAAAACAGAAGCTGTAGTATTATTTAAAATAAAAACATGACTGTGGCCAATAAAGAGACTCACACGGGGAAGGTGAAGAAGACGGAGTCCACATCTGCACTCACTGCCTTATTCACAGGATCTGCTTCACAGCTTCAAAATAAAATTTTAAAAAAAGTTTTCAAGAAGGGGGGGAAGAGAAGACGGTGTACAGTGAACCCATGTCAGTTTGTACAAATATACCAAGTGGAAAAAAAAATATTTATTACCTGCATTGGAAGAAATTGTTTACTTATTGAATGTTACTTGTTTATGTAGAAAAGTAGATGTAATAAAATGCATTCTGCCACTTCTCTGCGTCGTTCCTTTTACATAAAGAACCTTCACTACTGCTCTGTTCACGCTTTCCTGGAGCGAAGAGGGGAATTGGAAGTACCCTCCGTCTGTCCATATTGTAAGATGCATAACTTGAAAAATACCATAAGCAAGGTGCTAACTTTCATTTTGGTGTGTGGCTGCAGCTAGGTGTAAGAAAGGTCCCGTTTGAACATTGGGTTGCCACTTCAAAGTCCAAGATGGCTCCTGTCCAGAAAGGATTCACAGCGCTTCACTTATTTCACATTTTGTGTTACAGCCTTGTTCCATATTGTATTAAATTAACGTCTCTTCAAAATTCTGCACACAATATCCCGTTATGTGGAAAATAGAAAACTAAGAAATCACATTTACTCAATCCATGCTTAAATATGTTGATCCACCTTTTTGAATATGATGCCACAGGTTTTGTCCCATTCTTCTTTGCAGTACTTCTCAAGCTCCATCAGGTTGGATGGGAGAAGTCTGTGCAGCCATGTTCAGACATCTCCAGAGATGTTCGATCAGATTCAAGTTTGGACTCTGGCTTGGCCACTCCAGGACCTTCACAGGGTGGTCCTGAAACCATGAGCTTTGGGTCGTCCTGCTGAAAAATGAATCATCCCTCCAGTCTCAGGTCTCTTGCAGACTCTAACAGGTTTTCTTCCAGAATGGTCCTGTATTTGGCCCCATCCATCTTCCCATCAATTCTGACCATCTTCCCTGTCCCTGATGACGAAAAGCAGGCCCAAACCATGATGCTGCCACCACCATGTTTGACAGTGGGGATGATGTGTTCAGGGTGATGAGCTGTGTTGCTTTTACGACAAACATATCGTTTTGCATTGTGGCCAAACAGTTGGATTTTGGTTTCATGTGACCAGAGCACCTTCTTCCACATGTTTGGTGTCTCCCAGGTGCTTGTGACAAACTTTAAACAACACTTTTTATGGAGATCTTTGAGAAATGGCTTTCTTCTTGCCACTCTTCCATAAAGGCCAGATTTGTGCAGTGTACAACTGATTGTTGTCCTATGGACAGACTCTCCCACCTCAGCTGTAGGTCTCTGCAGTTCATCCAGAGTGATCATGGGCCTCTTGGCTGCATCTCTGATCAGTCTTCTCCTTGTTCCAGGTGAAAGTTTAGAGGGACGGCCGGGTCTTGGTAGATTTGCAGTGGTCTGATACTCCTTCCATTTCAATATGATTGCTTGCACAGTGCTCCTTGGGATGTTTAAAGCTCGGGAAATCTTTTTGAATCCAAATCCGTCTTTAAACTTCTCCACAACAGTATCTTGGACCTGCCTGGTGTGTTCCTTGGTCTTCATGATGCTCTCTGCTCTTTGAACAGAACCCTGAGACTATCACAGAGCAGGTGCATTTATACAGAGACTTGATTACACACAGGTGGATTCTATTTATCATCGTCAGTCATTTGGGACAACATTGGATCATTCATAGATCCTCACTGAACTTCTGGAGTGAGTTTGCTGCTCTGAAAGTAAAGGGGGCCAATAATATTGCACGCCCCACTTTTCAGTTTTTTATTTGTTAAAAAAAGTTTGACACATCCAATAAATTTCATTCCACTTCATGATTGTTTCCCACTTGTTGTTGATTCTTCACAAAAAATGAAAAATTTATATCTTTATGTTTGAAGCCTGAAATGTGGCAAAAGGTTGAAAAGTTCAAGGGGGCCGAATCCTTTTGCAAGGCACTGTAGTGCCAAGTCGAAACTGAAGTTGTCTCGGGGCACAACAACGTCCCCCATAGCTTGATGCTGCATTGTTTAAACCAGAACCCCCAATTGAGGAAATTCTGCTTTCTAGTTTTATATTGTTCTAGTTTCCTCAAATAGTTAGCGTGACCAAATATTAATCTGATAGTGAAGACCACCATTGGCCACCCCCTGGTTCCGCCATTGTACCTATGGTGGACAATATTGCTCCCTCCATTCAACTGCATCTGACAAGCCAAAAAAAAATAAAAAACTACCTCTCTTCTCATGAACACTGTAACTCTTAACCACTTGAATATATTGCACCCAAAACATTCAGGTTTACTTGAATTCTTGTTTGGAAAAACTTTCTGATTTTACCTCTTCAGGGGTCTCCACAGCGAGTCTTCCTCCACCTCACTCTGTCCTCTGCATCCTCTGGCCTCTCTCCATCTGCCTCCGTGTCCTCTCTAACTGCATCCATGTATCTCCTCTTTGTCTTTTTCCTAGCAGCTGCATTTCTAACATCCTTCTTCAGAAAACCACTCCTCTCGAACTCTAAATATTCACTATATAAATCCCTCAGTAATGAGGGACATCGGCATCCCACTTGTTTACTCTGTTCAAACTTTTTGATCATTTTCACGCCCCAATGAAATTAAAAAACAGAAAATCAAGAATGTATTTTTCCTTACACAACAATGGGGTGTTGTACAAACGAGTCAAGGAAACCCCATCTCCTTCGGGTCGCTGCAGCTCAGACACTTCACAGTAACAACATGATTCAAAGTTTATACGAGTCACAGAAAATTGGACTTCACACGTCTGAACTGGTATGTTTACATCTTTCATGGTTTTCACACAATCACACTTTATTTTTATGGTGTTTTCCACAGAATCACCAACCTGCCAGTTGTCATAAACTTCTGAGATGTTGGAACCTGCACAGAATGCTGAAAAGTTCTTAACGTCAACAGCTTGGTACAAATACATCCAAGCAGAGGTCATTTGTCTTATTTCACTGCTGCAGGACTTCATTTCAGTCTGTTTCTGTCTGTCTTGCTGTTGGGGAGTGGCAGACAGTCCTTTGGTTGCCATGGTGACCCAAATAAACCAGAAGATTCACACAGGCCCACTGTAAGGTACACATTTTATTTCACCGGACAAATCCCTGAGATCACAGGTCTATTTTACGAGGGAGGCTGGAAGCCTAGTGGATGTTAACTGGAAGATGGGGTGCAGGGAAAACCCACGCAAACATGAGGAGAACATGCAAACTCCACACAAAAAGACCCCCAGGTCCAAACTGGGGACTGAACCCAAGACATTCTTGCTGTGTGAGGCAGCAGTGATAAACCACTGATGCACTGAGTCGTGCTGACTGATTTGAACCTGCAGTGGAAAACTCGGGTACTAACGAGGGCTGCGTTCCTCGTCTGCAGCTGCGCAGGTTGCAGAACTTCCAAATGGAATGCGGCCCTCATTAAAACACTCGAGCTCCTTCAAGTCAAACTGCTGTTTTTAAAAAAAAGCAGCCTATGGTCTTGGTTCTCGTCACGTCTGATACGTCAAGTTTATATCGTATGAGGTTAGAGTTCTGGGGTGTAGTTATTGTCACAGTTCAGAATGTTTTCAGAAAAGTCTGGAAATTAAAGGAGTTCCTGCAGTTTGTGGCGTTTTGAAGCATCACCCCTAACTGAACACTGGGTGGCAGCAGTGAGTCGCTTTTATACATCGACACAACTTCATCCTGTTTGGAGACAAAAAGTCCGTCATCTTGTTCATCTGCAGCCTGAGTCTTTGTGGCTTCACGCATCTCTCACGTGACAGGAGCTTTTTAACCTTTAGATTTATGTGTTATTGGTGAAAACGATTATTTGTTGACATGTTTGATAGAGGTGCGCTCTTTTGCGCACAGAACTGTTGAACCATCTGCTCGCACCCTAAACAGCTTCATCGCACACGCGCACACACGCCAGTGCTGAGTGAATGAGCGCAGAGGGTGGAGCGCGTCTGTCAGCAGTGATGCTGGATGCTGGAGAGGAGAGGAGGCGCAGCCGGAGGAGAAGAAGTCGAGGTGTGTTCACCTTGGACTGAAACGCCCCGGGCTGCAGCTGGCACCATGAGCTCAGACAACGACAGCTTTTACTCCAACAGGTCTCTGACGGAGCTGGACCTCTTCAGCAACCTGGAGGACATCGACGTGTCTGCAGACGGGAGCCCGATCCTCCGGCTCCTCATCTGCCTCGTCTACTCCGCGGTGTGCGCCGCGGGGCTGATGGGCAACCTGCTGGTCCTCTTCTTCATCAGAGTCAAGCAGGAGAGGAGGAAGTCGAGGGTGAACTTTTTCGTGCTCAACCTGGCCGTGACGGACCTGCAGTTCGTGCTCACGCTGCCCTTCTGGGCCGTGGACACCGCGCTGGACTTCAGCTGGCCCTTTGGAGACGCCATGTGTAAGATCATCCTGTCGGTCACCGTCATGAACATGTACGCCAGCGTCTTCTTCCTCACCGCCATGAGCGTGACCCGCTACTGGTCTCTGGCCAGCGCGCTGAAGACCACAACCGCGCACAAGTCCTGCTCCGCCAAATGGACGTGCGCAATTATCTGGACGCTGGCGACCCTGGCCACCGCGCCGACTTCCATTTTCTCCACAGTCAGCAACGTAACGGGGGAAAAACTGTGTTTGCTGAGGTTTCCGGGCGGTCAGTACTGGCTGGCGGTGTACCACATCCAGAAAATAGTCGTGGGCTTCGTGGTGCCCATGTCCATCGTGTCCACCAGCTACTTCATGCTGCTGCGCTTCATCCACAAACGGAGCATGAAAACCAGCAACCCCAAACGGAGATCCCAGGTCACCAAGTCCATCACGGTCATCATGCTGTCCTTCTTCCTCTGCTGGATGCCGAACCACGCCATCACCCTGTGGAGCGTGCTGGTCAAACTCAACGTCGCCAACTGGGACAGAGCGTACTACATCGTGCACACGTACGTGTTCCCGCTGACCGTGTGCCTGGCGCACACCAACAGCTGCATGAACCCCATCATTTACTGTCTCACGAGGAGGGAGTTCAGGGACAAGCTGCGAGGTCTGATCCGCAGAGGATAAGAGGGACTTTGGGTTTGTTTGCTTGTTAACGAGGCGCGTAATGGGAAGGCAAACCGTAACCAAGACGCACCGGATGCGCCCTGCGGAGAGGAACTCATCGTCACGCTTCTCTTCCTTAAAGTCTCCTGTTTGTGACTCTGCCTGTTTCTATGACAAGCTCAGTCCAGCTCGTGCGTTAAATGTTTATAAAAATGACTCCATGTGTGACGCGTTCAGTCCAGAGGCCGTGCGTAAAAAGCGCATCAGTTATCAGCTCGTGCGTTTTTGATCAAACGTGGCCAAACGCTTTTTTTTTTTTTTTTTTCATGAAGTTCTGACTGAAAGAGCATTTATGGAAACTATGAGCTCATAAACTGATCAAATAATGTGAGGCGAGTTGTCCAGTCCTGCAGTTTGGTACAAGAGATGGACAAATGTGAGAATTATAAATGTAAAAAAATAAAAACGTTTGGGTGAATAAAATAACCTCACATTGTCACGTGGGTCAGTCAAAACACTGTTTAAAGTTTTCAACGTGTAATTTGGGTGAATGACATGATAGAAGTCATCTTTCAAATATCATCTCTTGTTGATTGACAGGTCAAGGATTAAATGCAGCCTCACGTGACACCACATCTGTTCAAACTGGCTGAGCTCCAGCTGCAGCTTTGTGCTGGTTAAAGCTGACTAGCAGTGGCGGCCATCTTGATTTGAATTGACATTCAATGAAAGCTTTCTGAAGACTTAAATAAATGACACATAGTTCTTCTTGGAATATTTTGCTAACAGACAATCGGGTTTGACTCCAACAGTTAATGTCATCGTTTTAGGCAAATATTTTGTGCAATGGGCCGCACTTTGAGCACGTGATGTGAATGACTCTCAGCTACAACCACAACAAATGTAACCACATTATCTGCAGTGCTGACTGGATTGTAGCCATTGTTGTATTTTCCATGATCAGATTGCTGTGGCAGCCATCTTGATTTGGTTTGGCTCCAAATGTTAATCAGATGAAAATCCAGTGAGCACTAATTGAGAGTTTTAACAAAATCTTTCTTTATAGTTTATTAGATATTTTACTAACAGACAGTCTTCAATACATTAATATCAGAAGTTTAAACCCAAACCTTTAGTGCTCAGAACATAGATGGAGGATCAGCCGCAGTGACTACCACCAACTTGTAGGTGAGAATCTGTAAAAGTGACTAAGCTATGGGCATTTTTGTGTGTTATCAGTTGGCTTTGGCGGCCATCTTGAATTAGGTTGCCTCCAAAGGTCATTGAGTTATACATCTAGTGATTACTTTCTGACAGTTTAATAAAAACTCTGAAGTAGGTATTTAGATACGACAAACACAACAGAAACATTATCGTTTGGCTTTTGGAGGTGAGCGATGCTGAAGTAAAACAGCTGCAGGGTGTCCTCCATCAGCATCACGTGGTCAAACCAGACTTTATAATGGGCACACACACACACACGCACACACACACACACACACACACACACACACACACACACACACACACACCCTTTCTGCATAGGTCTGACAGCTGCATGTGTCATCTGAACTCAAGCTGCACGCTCTTATCCAGATTGTGTTTAATTGTCTGACAGATTGGAAATGAACTGTAGCTGTTAGCTGAGCTGAATGTAAAGTGGCTAAAGAGTTAGAAAAAGATCACTTATCCATTTGAAGGTTGACTGTTCGTACAGTTTACTCATTACCCCGACTGACAGCTCTTAAATTATCTACTGACAAGAGGATATTGTTTCTCAGAACTTATAAACACAAAGAGTTGCTATTTAACACATTTGAAGTAAACTCTGAAGATTGTCTTCCACACTTGTTTATAACTATTTAGCGTATAATTAACGTGGTAAATTAGTTGCTTAATTTGATCTCAATAGCATAATGTTTAAAAATATTCACAACGCCTTATTTTAAGCCATGATTCAAGACATACAGGTTTTATTTTATTTGTATTATTATAGTGGATGAGTTTCAGCACAAAATAGTCAAAGTTAGAAACTGAATAAAGTACACAAACACCAAGTCAAATAATGACGTCGTCACTAATACAGTAATAAAATGCATGAAAAGAAAGATGGTTTATACTCAACGGCTCAAATTACTGATCTGAAAAATAATTTGTGTGAAAATAAAGGAAAAAATACAGAACTGACGCATAATCTGCAGCTCTTCAGTAAAAATGTAATTAATATGTTGTTCAAACACAATCAGCACTCAAAGGGTCATAAATAAAGTTTTGCTCATACAAATGCTCCCTGCACTCGTCTTCATAGGTGTTCATGTGAGGTTTTATATTTGGGTCTATGAAGGCTTTGAGGGTTTTCTTTGATCAAAAATATGCTTTTCTTGCACTTTCAGACCTTCTACGGTCTACCTGACCATTTCAGACAAATGTTTTGTTCTTTATTCCCATATTTTTGTGACATCAACCTCGAATCATTCCAGCACAAAAAAACAAAAACCAACACACCAAGTCAAGGTGTGGATGAGTGTTGAGTCTGTACAAAACAAACAAATACATTATAAAATGTCTGTTTTGGCACCTACTAATTAACACACTGTCACAAAGACAAAACTAATTTCTTCAGATGAATCTGTGAAAAAGGACAAAAGTCAGTTTTTTATAACTCACTTCTGTTTTCCACCATCTAGATGACTCACAAGGAGATACACAGCAAACACTTGGTTTGGTTGTAACATGCTCCTAAACTGTGACAAACTGGGCAATAATAATTGAAATGCAGCTGATTTGACGTCAAAGTCCTTTTTATTAAACAAATGTTAGACTGAGACACACCTTTACTATAAAGTTGCACAAACAAATACTTGTGTTTAGGTGTTAATCTTGTTAAATTCTTGTTAAAGTCCTCCCGTGAACGCTCCCACGGCCGCCCTTTGGCAACCAATCGATTTTTGGCACAACACTGGCCCACATTTCCAGGTTGTCAACGGTGACGTGTAGTAGATGTGACGCATTTATGGATTTTTCCACTTTATTAGACAAATTTGGACTGATGCGACGTATAATAATAATAATAATAATAATAATAATAATAAAGTGCTATGTGTTGTTATCATTGTATGTTCCCATACAAAGACGAAATTGGTTCTCTGCATTTAACCCATCGCATCTGGGATACACCCAGGTGGAGCAGTGGGCAGCTATGTAAGTGCCCAGGGAGCAATTTGGGATTAGGTGTCCTGCTCAGAGGCACCACGACATGTGCGATGACCAGGGATCGAGCCCAGGACCTTCAGGTCCCGAGTCGGCTGCCCTGCCTCTACACCATCACAGCCCCAAATTAATATAGGGCGGTGCAACGTGTATGATGGAAAATACGGTAAGTGGACATGCATAATATACAAGTCTCACAAAAACAAGAAAACAGCCCTGTGATAAGAATCACACCAGTTGATCCAAAATGCTGCTGCCAGAGTCTTAACTGGAGTTAGTGGGAGAGATCATATCTCTCCAGTTTTAGTTTCTCTCCATTGGCTCCCTGTCAAGTCCAGAATTGAATTCAAAATCTTGCTTCTAACCTACAAAGCTCTCAACAACCTAGCTCCATCTTATATTACAGATCTTATTGTTCCATATTTTCCTAACAGAGCACTTCGCTCTCAGACTGCAGGTTTACTTGTGGTTCCTAGAATTTACAAAAACAGAATGGGAGGCAGATCTTTCAGTTATCAGGCTCCTCTCTTGTGGAACCAACTTCCAATCTCTGTCCATGAGGCTGACACATTGTCCAGTTTTAAAATTAGGCTTAGGACTTTCCTTTTTGATAAATCCTATAGTTAGGATCGGCTTGGGTTTCCTGAGCTGTCCCTTAGTTATGCTGCTATAGGCTTAGACTGCTGGAGGACAAACTGACCACAATTTTCACTCTGCTACTGTCTTTACTTACTCTGCTCAACCTGTTTTGTATTTGTTATTATTTTTTATATCCTTAACGTTTTTTTTTTTTTTGTCTTTCAGATACACCTGGACCTATACCTGGACCTGGACCTATACCTGGACCTGGACCTA